AAACAAAAACAAAAAAAACACAGCAGCAATGAAGTGCATAAGTAACAGCAACAGTCATAGGTCCGGCAGAAGAGCGGAAACAGAATGAGGACAAAGTCATCAGTCATAAGATTGTCCGCGTGTGGATATCACATTAAACGGGACATTCTGCTGCCGATGGCGATGACTGCGGCGTGGTGCAGGCTGTGCTGGGGCATGTACACCAGGAGCAATAGAGGCAACTGGTGTCTGGCCTTGTGCCGCGTCTGGAGCATAAACAGTAGGGACGGCTGCAGCTGGCGGGGGTGTAGGAGAGACTCTCGGTCGGAGGAAACGGCGGTTGCGCCAATAGATGCGGCCGCTTGGAAGTTTCACCAAGTAGTCCCGGTGCTGACCAATGGCTACGATTGAGCCATGAGCTGACCACAACTTGGTCCGGGGATGCTGGATGTCGACATGTGCTCCAAGAGACAGACGAGGAAGGGACCGAGCAGAGCGGTTGTAATGCTGCTGAATCGACTCCAGGTAGTGTGATGAGCGCTGGTCAACTTCATTAGCGTGTGTTTGCCATGCAGGAGCAAAGCTGGAATGGTGGGCAAACACAAAAGACGACAGAGGCCGGCCGTAGAGAGCTTGGGCTGGACTCTGACCAGTGGCGTTCGGGGTATTCCTCCACTCAAGCAACGCACGTTGAAAGGAATCCACGTCGAGGTCGCCATTACTAGTGGTCTTGTGAATTAGCGACTTCATGGCTTTCACGGCATTCTCGGCAAGCCCATTCGACTGCGGATAATGGGGAGAGGATTTAGCATGACGGATGTGCCAGGTATCACAGAACTTAGCGAACACATGGGACTGGAACTGAGGGCCACCATCACTGGTAAGTACCTCGGGGACACCAATGTCAGGAAACCAGCGGCGAAGAGACCGAATGACGTCTGCAGAGGAGGCAGTGCGTCCGAGCTTGGCAACGCAGGGCCAGCTGGTTAGTCGGTCCACATACACTAAATACTGCAGGCCTTCACACTCAAACAGGTCGGCGCTGCAATGCTGGAATGGCAGATCTGGAGCACGATCATCCACACGGAGTGGCTCCTTCGGTTGTGAGGCGCTGTGCAGGCGGCACTTGTCACAACTGCGGACAACATGCTCGATGTCGGCTGACAATCGTGGCCAGAATACAATCTGCCGGGCACGGGACTTCGTGCGCGTCAATCCTTGATGGGATGCGTGTAGATCAGACAAGACACGCTGCCGGAGAGCGACGGGAATCAAGAGACGGGGTTCTTTCATCACTAAACCACTGTCAATAGAGAGGTGCTCGTGACCATTCCAGTACGGCTGGAGTGACTCAGGCATGAGGGACCTCTTAGCAGGGAAACCAGACACGATGAACTGAACTAGGCACTGGTAGTCAGGGTCGGCCTGGGCGGCGGAGCGGAGCGCGTGGTACTTCAGGCCACCAGACGTATCAAGCGTGCACGCACGGATAGCAGCGCCCTGAGAGGCAGTACTCTCACCCAGTTCATCGTCAGGGCAGGGGTCGCTGACTGGATGGCTGGACAGAGCGTCAGGGAAAGCATGATCCGTGCCTTTCCGCCAGGTTGCGTGTAGCTGATAGGGCCGAAGTTTCAGGACGAGCCGCTGTAGCCGGGGATTCTCTCTCTGATCCAAGTAGTAGGAGTTCAGAATAGGGATGAGCGGGCGGTGGTCGGTAATAACTTCGAACCGAGCACCGGAGAGATAGATCGAACACTTGCGTACTGCCCAGGTAACCGCAAGGCATTCAAGCTCAATGACGGCGTATCTCATCTCGGCATCAGAGAGGAACCGGCTTCCACATTGGAGTATGCACCAGGTGTCGCCCTGCTGCTGCCACAAAACATAACCAAGTCCGTTCTTCACGGACGCATCAGTTTCTAACCGAAGTGGTCGGCCGGGCTGAAAGAACGACAATATCGGGGGAGAAGCCAGGGCAGCTTTGACGGCGTTAAACGCGTCAGTGTGTGCCGACTCCCACAGGAACACATTCGTGGACTTCAGCAACGGGCGAAGCGGATCGCTGAGCTGTGCGATACGGGGCGAGAAATCACTACACTGATTGATTAGCCCGAAGAATGAGCGGACGTCAGTGCGATTAACGGGTACTGGGAAATCAGTGATGGCTGCCGTCTTGTCACTGTCAACGGTGTAACCATCCGTGTTGATGTGGTAGCCACAGTAATCGACTTCTGGGACACCGAAGACGAATTTCTTAGCGCTCAGGGTAATGCCGTGCTGACGGGCGCGGAGCAGAGCGTTACGAACGTGGGTGAAATGAGTCGTCAGTTCCGTATCGTACACAAGACCATCGTCAACCACTTTTACGAAGTTGGTGAGGCGATCAAACGCTGCGTCGGTACGGGAGAATACATCACCAGCCGAGACAAGGCCCTGTGGGTTGCGAAGAAACTGGTACCGCCCCCACGGTGTGATAAAGGTGGTGAGCGGCTTGGCGTCGTCGGACAGCGGGACTTGCCAATAGCCATGTCGGGCGTCGAGCTTTGTGAAGTAGCGGGCTTTGCCGATGGCTGCCACTGCGTCATGTGGTGTACGAGCAGGATGGGTTGGTCTGCGTACCTGATCATTCAGCTTTCGAAGGTCCACAGTCAGTCGCATCTCGGTAGTGCCCTTCTTCTCAACGAGAACGATCGGATGGCACCACGCAGAGGGTTCTGTGACTGGCTCGATAATGCGATCATCGACCATACTGTCCAGTTGGGACTTTATCTGATCCCGGTCGGCAAACGGTATGGTGCGAGCAGTGCGGACGCAGCTGGGTTCTGCACCTGGTTCCAACTGAATGTCCATGTGCGGGCCATCCATTGGTGGAAGCTGTGAGCTATCGAAAACGTAGGCAAACTCTTCCAGAAGCTGCTGTTGGAGCTGCTGGGCAGTGTTGGGTTCAGTACGGGCAGAACGGACAAACACGGAGGGCCAAGAAGCAGGTAACAGATTCAAGGCACAGAGGCTTTGGTGGGATAGAAGTGCCTCATCCAGGCCTTTGTACACGTGCAGTGTGGTGTCGTGTGTGACGGAATCGAGCGTCAAGGTCGCCTGGATCTTGCCAACACTGGTTTAGGGTGCGCCATCAGCGGTGCGCACAACATCCTTGTCGGTAGGCAGATTCTCAATAAAGTCTCCGAGGAGCTCGAGGTGTGCAGGGCCAATAGCGTTGATGTCGCTGCCGGTGTCAGGAAGCCAGCGCAAACTGGTTGGCTTGTCGGCAGACACGAGCTGCGTGTTGACGGCTATGGTAGCCCCTTCACGGGAGGACGTGGCACGTTGCAGCTGCAGCTGACCGACAGTCCTCTTAAAAGCAGACGGACACATGGATAAGAAGTGACCGGTGCGTTGGCAGCCATTGCATTTGCGATCCGCAGCAGGGCAGGGCCGCTTGCTATGAGCGGTGCGGCCACAGTTGGGACACTTGTCCGGCGAGGGCTTGCTGCCAGACTTGGTATCCTTGGCTGCGGGTTCTCGAGCTTGCTTGGATACCATTCCTTTCTGCTTCTTATAGCTGGAACGAACGGCACTCACGGACGCGTCTCCAGTGGCCTGACTGGGGATACGTGACGAGGTTTGACTGGCAGCCTCCTCGGCGCGGCATAGGTCGACGCAGGTTACCAGGGTTAGATCCTTCATTGCCAGCAGCTTGTGTCGAACGTCATCCTGCAGGATGCCGGTAACAATGCGGTCTCGCAGAATTTCATCCGTGTTAGCCTGGAGCGACTGCTGGCATGTTTGACACATACGCCCTGAGCATGTCGAACAGACATCCAACCCGGAGAAGTTGCACGCATGAAACAACTCCCTCAGGGATGTGTACCACGCGTCGAACGTCTCTCCAGGTTGCTGGGCACGGCGATAAAATTCAATCCTGTCCAGCAGGGGGTTGCGCTGGCGCCGGATGAACTTGCGTAGTTCAACCATGGCCTCCGGGACATCATGGGTGTTTGGCACCACAATCACACCTTCACGCACGAAACGTCGCAGGTTCTCATCCAAGGCCTGCCTAAACGCGGCCATCCTTGTCTCGCGGGGCTGCGCTGACAACAGCTGACACCGGGAGTAGTCCTCCCAGGCCTCGCTCCACGATACAAATTCAGCTAGATTCGCCGACGACAACAATATGGGCCGATCCACAGCGACGAGCTTGGTGGATGGAGCAGGAGCAGACGAAGCAGGTCCACTCGTGCTGCTTGATGATCCTTGCGACATTGACTGCAACAGAGTTTGGAGCTGCGCATCGCGCTGGGCAGATGCTTGCACTTGAGCTTGGATCAGCTGCACAAGTTGGTTGATGTCCGGCTGTGACTTAGCACCATCCGCCATGGCGAAATCACAACTATCGATATCGTACTACAAGGCTACGAAAAAATTCTAGAACTTCGAAACGGACAATTTTCGAAGCGAAACGAAAACGGGCAGAGAGCAACACTACAGGTGGGCTACTCTACAACTGCAATGTAACTACTACTAGTATACTAAGACTACAGGTAAAGTAAGACGTTCAATGCGCCATGTTGTGTCAACAAACGCAAACACACGAGGTAGGGTTTGTGACTTATCTTTCAGAAGACAAAGAGAAAAGACCTCTTGTACATAGCAAAGGACAGGCAGAAAACCGTGATGCATGTGTGTACTAGTATGCGTACACACGCGAGTGCAAAAGGGCAATGCGTACAACAGGCAGAACATATATGGATACACCAGATGTTTTGGTGTTGGTAGATTAGTGGAGAGGAATGTGACCTCGCTCTTTGTGTGATTCATTACGCTTAATTAACTTAGGACTAATGCCCTCGTAGTCAGCATTATTGGCCTCATTGGTTTCCAGATGTGGGTAAAGATTATGTGACTAATCGAGCGGTGCTAAACGTGTTTGTTGTTTGTTTGTATTAATCTGCAAGAACCCAATAATATGAGAGCATAATGTGACAATTGCTGCGGCCAACATCTTCGTGTTCTGTTTCTAACAGATGTCAATCCACACTGTACTGTCATTGGTAATCTGCTACTATGTACTCACCGGTACTACAGTGATGAGTTGTCCAGCATCATGTCCGTGTGATGGTGCACCTAGGTACACTGTATATTGCTTCAGTCGCAGATTAACAATGGTGCCTGGTGGAATACCGAATACAACAATGACTCTGTAAGTCACCCATCTTGGAACATGCTATTCACACTTTCCACATCCGTTACACAGAATTGTTGGCACTTGCAATGTGATGGGATGATCTGCTCAAAACTCCGTATGTAATGGATATTCATGATCCATTGCATATTAGAAAGCTCAGGACAAGAAGAAGCCATTGTAGCAAGTCGCATCTCAATTTAACACTCTCACCACCAGCAATACAGAAATCGACCCAATGTTTTCAGTTCATTACAAATTGGGGATCAAAGTCGTTTGAAGACCTGGGCTTTCGAGCAAAAGCATCGCATTTACTCCTTGGTGAAGAATCGTTGGACGACAAAGCTCAAAGGGTTGGTTCACATATCGCCGGTACGCGCCGGGAGTCACCGGGGGTGTGCCTCTGGCAACTTATCCTGGCGAATTGCGATTATGTGAACCGGTGCAGTCGTAACAAAATCATACGGTAAAATATCGTGAAGGGACCGCCGGCAAAGTTGGACAGTGCCCAACTCTTGCGATCTGCCTTGGCGCCGATCCCGTACAATTTTGACCAAAAGTGGTTTGTGAACTGTTCGCGCCGGTGATCGCTGGTGCCGGGAGCCAGACTTTGTCAAAATTTCAAACCAAGACTCATCCTTAATTTTCCTAAATTGAAGGTAAAGATGACGTCCGTTCGCCATTCTTGTAGCCGTTTATTATTATTATTATTAGACACAATCTCATAGCATGTGACAAGCATAGCTAATGCAGGGACAGAATCCCCTGAGACAAGGGCGTTGAGCAAGCCACGGCAATAGTAAGCTAGGAAAACAAAGCAAATATGAATTAGAGCAGAAAATGAATGGAAAATTACAAAGAAAAACGATTAACGGAAGTGAGCACTATCAAAATTCGTGCATCACCCAGGTATTCGAGAATGTTCTTCGATGATAATTATTGCGTCTAGTTCAGTTGTGATAGTAGATCTTTAAACTGACCAATAGAAGAACAAGTTTTCAGACCGTATGGTAATGATAACCAATGAGAGTAGCCGGAAAACAAAGGGGACTTTAGATACTGGGCTGACTTAACAAGAGGCAGGATGAGCGCGTTACGGGTTGAGCTTGTCGAAAACCAATTGTACTTCATCATGTGTGAAGGGGTTTTATGAAGAAATATTTTATGAACCAGTGTACAGAGATGGTGCTTATGACGAACGGAGAGAGGAGAAGTGTGTGCAAGTCGATAAAGGGCATCCGAAGGAAAACATCGATCCTTGTTGTAAAGAATTTTAAGTATAAATCTATGGTGGACTTCTAATTGGTTCAGAGTTGTGTCAGAAAGGCCACACCAAGCGGTATCGCAATAGTCGAATATAGGGAGAATATAGCACTGATAAAATAATAGTTTACACTGGATGGGCAAATGAGTGCAATGTGGTTGTAGTACCCCTAATGCTGAACTGGTTCGCTTGCATACACAGTTGACATGTGCAGCCCAAGAGAGTTTGCAGTCAAACATCACACCTAGATGTTTGTGCTGAGTAACAACACGGATAGGCATAGTCGAGTCAGGGAAGTATAATGGTTGATCAGGAGGGGATGAAGAAATATACATGGCTTCTGTCTTGTCTAAATTGGGCTGGAGTTTCCACGTTTGCATCCACATGACAGTGCTGTTGATGCGATGCTGCATGGTAAGGAGTAATTGTGCAGGGGAGGAATCAGAACAGATAAGGCCAGTGTCATCCGCATACAAACTAACATCGGGGACAACTGAAGGTAGGTCATTAACGTAAAGCAAGAATAACAAAGGACCCAGAATGGAACCTTGGGGCACTCCAGACGTTACAGGGAGGGGATCAGACAAGAAAGAAGACAAGCGAACAGCCTGAGAACGAGCAGACAGATACGAGGATATCCAACGCAAGGCAGCATCCTCCACCCGGAAGGTGACCTCCAACTTGGCAAGTAAGCCACGATGCCAAACGGTGTCGAATGCCTTAGCCAAGTCAAAAAACACCATTCCCACATGCTCCCCACAGTTCCTCTTTGTCGCTATGTCTTGGACAAGTCGAGTCACCTGGTATTGAGTTGAGTCACCATGGCAGAATCCCGACTGAGCTGGTGAGAGAGCCGGAGCGATGTGCAGGTAGAGGGAATCGAATACAATACGCTCACAAAGTTTGGAAACTGTGCGCAGCAGAGAGATGGGGCGGTAGTTTGCCGGGCAAGCACGGGAGCCTTTATTCTTGTAAAGCGGTGTCATGATGGCGGATTTCCAATCCTGTGGGAATGTACCAGTTCGAAATGACATATTAAAAATAATGGCGAGAGGATAGGCCATTGATGGTGCAAGAGACTGCAGCACTTCATTCGGGATCCCATCTGAGCCGGGAGACTTTCCACATTTCAGGCGCTTCAGATATTTCCGAACTTGAAACGTAGTGACAGTGATTGTACGGAACGGAACAGATATGAAAGGCGACTGGGACAAATGGGGAATGCGCCACGAAGGAGCATCAGGTAGCCCAAATGAGGTGAACTGAGTGTTCAGAACATCAGCTATGCTCTTGGGGGACGTGGCGACCGTACCGTCAGATGCTATCATCGTTTGGGGCATGACACGGCCGGAAGTGTGCCGCTGTGCTCGCACAAACTGAAAGAGTGTAGGTCGATTCGGTGACGTTAGTGATGCTTGGATGGAGCGTATATATTGACGATGTGCTTGCCGAGACAGGTGCTTTACAGCATTCCTTTGTCGGTTATAAGCTGCATGATTTACTGCTGTCGGATATTTTTTGTACACACTATATAGATCACGCTTGCGTTTTACAGCAGACCTGAGCTCAGCAGTAACCCATGGTGGAGATTGCATGCGGGGTCGTGGAGATGTCACAGTGTGGGTGGCTCCGAATAAGGTGAGGTGACGACGGAAGGCGGACTGGAGCTCACAATCAAAGTGATGAAGTGCGTCATTAACATCAGTGTACGAGTTCCGAGAGGACCAGTTGTAGCCAGCTAAATAAGCGTTGATTAATTGCCTAAGGTGCGAAGGTACTTGTTTGAAGCGATACAGTGAAGAGGGAGGACCAGTGGAAGAGTTGGGGAAGTAGTTCGAAATAGGGGCGTAACATAAAGTGCAAACAATCTGTATATGGTCAGACATACCCAAGGGAGGTGCTTGATCAATTGAGCGCACGAGGCGTGGTCGGTTGGTGATCACCAAGTCCAGACACGAAACAGAGCCATTAGGCGAGGAATGAGTGGGGAAGTCAACCATCTGGTGGAGCCCAAGAGCAGCAAATACTGTGCTCAGGAGATCACCAGCCTTCGAGGTAGAATCGGTGGGACACCAGCTTGAGTTGTGGGCGTTGAAATCGCCAGTCGCTAACAGATCATAAGAATCTAAACAGACTGACTGTAATGCCTCAACAAACATGTCACAAAAGTACGACAATTGCATTGTGCTCTGTGAGGGTGGTCGATACATGCAGCATAGTAAGATGGGATTCTGAGATTGAGTAGAGGGGGAGCCAAGTTCAAGCCACACAGACTCGCAGCCAGGGCGTTGAAGGTCGGCACGAGGGGAGACGTGCGGAAAGGAGTCTGAACGGACAAGTACGGCAACACCCCCATACCCACGGCTACAATGTGCTGACCGATTGTCTTCCGGAGGTCGATCTCTGCGGATGCAGATATAGCCTGACAGTGAGAGCGGGTTCGAGGGACAGAGCCACGTCTCTGTTAGGCAGATTATGTCAGGCTTAGCATATTCGGCAATAACGCAGAGCTCAGACAACTTGTTGACAACAGAGCGACAATTCAGAGATACTAGGGTTAAATCACGCTGGGATTTGGGGAAAAAAGGGAACGCTGATGGTTTTAGCGCTGGACATGCAATGTGTGCGGGTCGGCCAGAGGAGGGCTGAGCGGGGTAGAGCGGGTGGGCTAGTTTCGATCGTGGGGTGAATACAGGGGCTTTGGGATTTAGTCGTTGTTGCTGCATCGTTGTGTATGTTGGTTTGTTAGCATGACAGTTCAGGATTGATCATCACTGCCTCGCCGCGAAGTAGAAGACGACTTGTTACCTTGGGCATCAGCAAAGCGCCACTTTCGCACTGTGTGCTGGATGGTGGCCGGCCAGAATTGGGAGTCGAGAACTTTGTCCTCGTCCGATGCTGCCACGGTTACGCGAGCATGGCAAGTACCCAGGTACGTGTTTTCTGAAATCGAACAGTTCAGTACGTCAACTTGGCGGGCCTTGCACCACGCTGTTATTGACTCTGCTCTGCAACCCGGGCTGACATTTCCAACGTACAGAACAAGCTTCTTTGTACGTTCAGGCCCTGTTAGCACACGCGGGTCGGCTGCCCGGGGCTGAGGTTTCACGTAGCGTGACGTAACCCTACGGCGTGTGACTTCCGACCACTCTGCACCTGCAGCACTCGGCCCTGGGTTGGATTGCTCAGGTGGGTGTGGTCTGGTGCCATGCATTGACAAAACAGGCTGCGACAAATGGCTCGAGGTGGTGTGAGCGGGGGTCATATGGTGAGTACTAGAACCCGTACTACCCTGTGTGTACTGCATAGGACCAGAGGAAATATGGGTGCGTGCACGTGGGGGATTCAAGTCTCCTACGGCGGTGCTGTACAACTTCCCGCCGGACATTGCCAAATTTTGCTGTGCTTCCTGTACGAGAGGGTGTACACAGATTTCTGGTTGTTGGAGCCCCTGAACTTCCCGCCTGAGTTGTTGCACTTCTAATTCCAGACTCAGGATTTTGTCGGCTCTATCCTGTCTCAAGGAGACAATTTCCTGTGACATGCAGCTAATTGAGTCAGTAAGGCTTACAATTGCAAGTTGGAGCTCCGATGTGGGTAGCGAACTCTGCGCCAACACGCCCACTCCACGCTTCCTCAGCTCGCTCACCAGATCCGGCCGGGAGAGGCTCGAGGCTTTATCCACAGACATTTGCTCGCCGATCTTGATGAGCTCCTCATAGCCAACCAAAGCCAGGTCCATGCCTTCGTTTGT